ATGTATTATTATTGTTATTATTGTTATTATTATTATTATTAATAAAGATATTTACAGGAAAGTTAATTGAGAGTACCTTATATCCCCCACACTGCATTTTGTAATACGTTCTGTGTAAATGTATATCTCAAAGACCATTATATCATCTGAAAAATGTAACCGCTCCTTTGTATAAATACAAAACAGTATTCTTTTAGTATCTCTAAAAGAAAAATCTAGTACTTAAAATGCTTGATCAAAACAGTTTTATAATAAATAATAATAATAATAATAATACATTTTATTTGATGGCGCCTTTCATGGCACTCAAGGTCACCTTACAACAACAAGCAAAAGTATGTACATAGCATCATAAAAATATAGCATAAAAATAGCATAAAAAACAAAAGGAACAGTCAAAATGAGAATTGGTGTTGTACATTATTCCAGTGAGTATGCTAGTTTAAGTTTTAAGTTTTGAGTGCAGTTTTAAAGTTTGTAATAGAGTCCAGTGTACGAATGTGTGTGGGGAGAGAGTGGGTGAAGCATAGGAGAAGGCCCAAGCACCCATTGTACTGAGTTTGATGGTTGGTAGTTCCAAAAGACTTGCTGTGGAAGACCTCTGGGAACGAGATGGAGTGTAGGTCTGAATGAGGTCAGTGAGATAAGTAGGAGACAGATTGTGGAGGGCTGTGAATGTTAGTAATAATATTTTAAAGTTAATCCTTTGTGATACAGGGAGCCAGTGTAGTTGAATCAGCAGAGGAGTGATATGTTCTGTGGACTTGGAGTGTGCTATGATCCTTGCTGCAGCATTTTGGATGAGTTGCAGTCAATGAATGAGTTTGTTAGGAATGCCTGCTAAAATCGCCTTGCAGTAATCAATGCATGATGTGACCAAGGAATTTAGTAGGACTTCTGTTGAGGGTTGAGTTAGAGCAGGGCGTAGTCTGGAGATGTTTCATAAGTGGAAAAAGGCAGTCGTTATTGATATGGCTGGAGTAAGAGAGGGTACTGTCCAATATTACACAGTGGCTCTTAACCTGTGTGGAGACAGGTATGGTGGTTCCATTAATAGGGAGTGAGCTGGTGTTGATTTTTGACAGAGTAGATTTTGAACCAATGAGCAGTAGCTCAGTCTTACTATTGTTGAGTTGTAGGTAATTTGTTGTCATCCATGTCTGAATGTCATGTAGACAGGCAGTGAGTGTACTGGAGGGGAGTATGGAGCTGGGGTTTGTAGACAGATAAAGTGTATCGTCAGCATAACAGGGAAAATGGATGTTGTAGCGCCAGAAGATGTTGCCAAGAGGGAGGAGGTAGATGATGAATAATAGTGGTCATAGCACTAAACCCTGCGGTACTCCGTAGTGGACTCCGGAGGTTTCTGATCTGTAGTTTAGGATTTTTTACATATTGTGCAAGCCATTGATAGACACTGCTGCCAATTCCTATATTTGCCACTCAGTACATGAGGAGGGGACGTGATACGGTATCAAAAGCTGCTGTGAGGTCCAGGAGGATCAGAACAGAGCAGCCTCTCCGGAGGAGATCGTTGGTGATCTTAGTCAGGGCAGTTTCTGTACTATGTTTGGGTCTGAAGCCAGATTGGAATTTTGTCCAGGAGATTTTATTGAGGTGGGTCTGTTTGATATAAATGGCAGGAAAATGGCCTGTAGTTGTTGTGTACATTGTGAACAGTGTTGGTCTGATTATGGCAGCTTTCAGAGAGGGTTCGTACCAGTGGACAGTGAGGAGTTGATGATGGATGTTGCTAGGGAAATTATAGAAGGCAAGCACGCTTTTACTAGGGTTGTGAGGATTGGATCCAGATGACATGTGGAGTTATTGGACTTGGCAATAGTTTCAGAAATGTGACTTTCAGTTTGAAGGCTGAAGTCACAGAAGACAGTGGATGTAGGCAGTGATAATGAACTTACTGATTGTAGGTTGGTCTGCACTGTGCCAAGATGTATTACAGTGATTTTTGAGTAGAATAATGTCAAGAAAGCAGAGCCCTGTTCATTTGAAAGGTTATTGTTCATATTAGTTTCCGGTGGATTGAGTAGTTTTTTTACTGTGGGGAAGAGGATTTTGGCATTCCCTTCACCTGCCGCAGTGATGTTTGCGTAGTATGAGTTTTTGGATGTTGAGAGAGCATTTTTGTATAGCAGTATATGATCATTGTACATCTGTTTATGTACAGCAAGTCCAGTCTTTTTGTAGAGCCTCTCCAGGCGGCGTCCTATGCCCTTAAGCTGACACAGTTCGGATGTGTACCAGGGAGAAGTATGGGTAAATGAATCCGTGTTTTTAGAGGGGCTAAACTGTCCACAGCAGAGGATAAGCTGTCATTGTAGTAGTCCATTAGATCCAGAGTTGAGGTGGTGGGCGGTGGAGCTGGGTTTGATGTAATTAAACTGATAAGGCTTTCTGGGTGCACATGTCTAATGTTTCGATATGGTATGAGCAGTAGGTTGGTGTTGAACAGTCAAGCTTTATGGTCAGAGATGGGTAACTCGGCAGATGTGAAGTTATAGGGTAAGATGCCAGAACAACAGACTAGGTCCAGGATGTGGCCCTTGGTGTGTGTAATGAAGTACTCTAACATTGTTTTAAAATCTTTTGTGAACATGTTATCAGGTTTATCAAAAATCCCCAATTAAAATGATGTTGGGAGACATAGTGTGCTTAAGACTGTTGAGAGCTCAGTGATGAACATGTTGGATGAGTTTGGTGGTCTGTATATGACAGCAATGATAGTAGGTGTTGGTCTACGAAGCTTAACTCAAAGGAACACCGATCAGGTAAACAGAGTTGTGTTAGTTTTATACACTCATGATAGATCAGCGCAAGGCCGCCTCCGCTTCCTCCAGAGGTTGGTTTGGATATGTAGGTGAAGCCAGGTGGAGCTGCTGAGTTTAGATGAATCATTTTGTGGCTGCCATGTTTCTGTGAGACATAAAAAATCCAGTTTGTGACCTGTGATGAAGTCATTCACTAGCGGGGCTTTATTGACAATAGAGCGGATGTTGAAGAGAGCAAACTTATGGCAGGTCCTGTGTGTATGTGTGTGTGTAGATGATTTGGCTAGTGGAGACACTGAAGTCTACACACCGTGTACTGTGTGGGCGGGATGCCCTGTGCTTAATAACAGTCTGTATGGGTAAACTGGAGTGGTGTAATGATAGATGAGGCCAGGAGGGTGCTGTAGCTGGAGTAAGTGTACTCAGTGTGAGACACGAGGAAGATACCGGGGAAGGGGTGTGTGATTTAAATAGTCATTCACGTGGAGCGGACTGTACAGCGTGCTGCTAGTTAGCCCCTAGCATTAGCCTACCCAGCCTGTTTGGGTGGACTCCCCCCCAAAACAAGTTAAAATTTTCTATAAAACCGATATTGCGTGCTCTGCAGGTGGAGTTTAACCAGGTGTGGAGGCTGAGGATTCTGGAGAAGCGCCCTGCTCCATAGATCAGTGTGGGAATAGGACCAGAAATAAAAACTTTCTGTACTTATAAGCTTATAAGGTCATTAAAATCCTTTTTGGTCAGCTCTGACTGCTCACAAGCCGCATTGTTTGTCCCCACATGGACAATCACTCTGTGTATGGTGGGTGGAAGTGAGCTCAGCAGCCCCGGGAGCTTATCAGGAGGGTAGGGACTGTGGCTCCAGGAATGCACTGAGTGGTTGCATTAAAGAAACGGATGTTCCTGATTATGGAGTCCCCAACTATTAATGTAGTTGGAGAGAAAAGGGAACGAGGGGATGACAGTTGCAGATTTTTGGAGCGGGACAGCATAGAATTAACTTCCTCAGTATGTGTTGACTGAGGATGGGACTTGTGGACAGGCAAATGTTGTGTTGAGGGAGCAAGGTTTGACCTGAGAAAGGGATTTCCTGCTGTCAGGGAGCAGGGATGGCCTCCAGACTGTCTCTGCACAGCGTCCCTCAGGATCCTATGCCGGGAAGCGGAGGTTCTTGACTGGGATGGTTGTCCAGAATCAGACCGGGGACCCAACCGAGCACCACTAGCTGGAGGGAAGGCCCCAGGGTCGGCAGGCATCGTCCACAGACCGGGGTCATTATCGGGACATGCTGGGCCCGCAGGTGTATCCACTGTGTGTACCGGAGTGTGTCGGACAGGGACACATAGCGGTTAGAGAGGCTTATCCGCGGTGGTGATGCATCCCCGTCCGAATCTCTCTTGCGTCCACGGACCACAACTTCGGCCCAAGATGACTGGTGTTTTGGTGTCGAGCAGGATGGAAGCCGTGGGCAAGTAGAGGGATCCCACAGCATTGTGTCATGGATGGTGGCGTTGAGGGAGGCAATCTGTTTGGTCTGTGCAGGAGCCACTTCCATGAAGCTGGTCAGAAGGGAGTCTTTTTTCTGGAGTTCATTGGATAGCTGTCAGATGTCTTTTCTGAGGTCAGTGATCTTTTTGTTTGCGTCATCAGGTAGAATGGAGTTCTCACAAGGTATTTTTGGCATGGTTGTTTTTGGTTTGCTAGTAACCGTAGTAGTATGTCTGTGTGGAGCTGGTGTAAGCTACTAGGTTAGCTCGTGTGTATGGATGCTAGCTTAGCTCACTTTCTCTAGACTAGAACTTTCTGTGTTGCTTCCTGCTGGGTTGGTAGTTTACTGACAACTTCAGGTTGTTGTAGTTGCTCCAGGAGCAGGTGAAGAACGCAGCAAAGCTCTCAATGTTTCAGCCAGATCTGTACAGTCGGTCTCCTCACAGTCCTCTCAGTAGCTGAGATGGTGGTTTGCCCCGCCTTGGAGATATACAATAAATGCAGACAAGACCTTGGAGATATACAATTTAAAAAATTGTATAGTATTTTTCTCCTCCAATATAACATTTTATTTGCACTATAAGCTGCCATCTCAACCTATTTTACTCAAAGAGCAAAAGTTAACACTGAACCACAGATTTTGAATTATGTACAAACTTGTTTTCTAACCATTGCTTTAATTGTGTGTTAAATAAGGAGCAAATATCATTAAAAAAAAGCAAATAGGAGGCTGGAACCAGGCAAGCTTTATTGGTTTTAAACAGCAAAACACTGCTGGCAGATAAAAACCACACTCCTGCGAATAGCACATTTGCAGGAATGATGAAAACAAACTCTATTTAAACTCTCATGGTCAGTTTTTGACAGGTATTGAGTCAGTCAAATGTCATTGGACCATGTAAACTTCTATACCTTTATAATGTAAACGTAAACATGTCTCGGGTAGACTGCATACAGCGTGTTGAGTATGAATATTTACACCTTAATCACAGTTTCGAGAAATATCTGCATTGAACAAAGGAAGTAAGGAAAGTTGTTCACTCCATCAGAAGCTCTGCTTCTCTGCTGTGATGCCATCAAGAAACACTGTTCTGATTTTGTTGTATCAGGAAAAAAACACCTCCTCAGAAGTCAGCTACATAAATATATCTCTGTGTATGTGCTCACTACACAGCATGAATGCTCAGCTTTGGCAATTAAAATAAACATCTCAAAACATCAGCAAAAGCTCTCATACTCAGCTACTAAATAATTTCCTATTTAATTTCCACATAGCAGATATTCATAAAAGCTAACACAGCAGTTAATTTGCTACACTGTTTTTCTTTAACAGTACCACAGGTTGTAAGCTTAACATTTTCCCCCGAAGGTCTAAAAATGGCTACAAACAATGCCCTATGCTGGGCACGATTGTTATTATGCTACAAAAACAAGCAATCTTTAAGTTTGTCACTTTAAGTCACTGTGCAACAGAAGAACTTCAATGGGAGTCAAACTGAAAATCTCCTGTGGTCAATGTCATTTTGTCTGTGTAGATATAAAACATGTCAATCAAAAGCGTGTGGACACCCCTTACTGTTTTGTGTTCTGTGATTTTTAAGTTTGAGAATAACTTTTGAGTCAACATGGAGAAAAGATGATAGAGGTGCTCAGAATCAAAATTACTACGGCGAAGAGATCAAAATCACCAGAGCAAACGAGTAAGTAGACCTTGAGTTTAAGCTATTTTTTTTTTACTAAGGGTATTAATTTAAGAAGGAATGCTGTCATTCAAACTCTGGTCTCTGGTCACACTTTATACACCCCTCAACAACCTTATCCATGTAATCTTTTGCTGCACTATTAGAATGTAACATGGGTCATTTTAAGCTGCTAGAAAAAACAATCAATATGTTTTTCTGGTGAGTCAAGAGTATTATTTTACCTGGGGCCCTGTGGTAGATTAATCTGGGCACATTTGACACTTGACTCTTTTTTAATAGTTTTCAGTGGCTCAATCATTAGTGGAGAATGGCCCCATCCCCACTAAACACATTGGCTGAACGTTCAGGAATGTCCAACCAAATTACATTAGACAACATTTCTTGAATTCATATTTCGTCTTATCACAAGACAAATTATTTTTCACCTCTGAAATAAATATCGTAAGGATTTTGTCTGGCCTCAAAAGAAGTGTGTGAAAAGATGTCTAATATTTCTCCAATGATAGCTAAGCTAATGACATTAATAATAGATTAAAACTAAATCTGTCACTCAGGTTTTCGGTTTGCTTCCCATGTAAGCTCGTGTTCATCAAAGTGCCATGTCTGTACTTCCAAATATTACCCATATAAAACTTCTAATCCTTACATAAAACCAGGCAGAGTTAGATTCCATTTCAAATCTGTCCATTCAGGAACCACATTATTATTCAAATAAACAAAACTAAATGTAACTGTTTTTTTTTTTAAATTGGGAGTAACTACAAACTGTCAGGAATAATGTCAACAAGATGAATTTTTTTTTCAGTGTTCTCAAAGCCTGAAACTTTCCACTGACATTCAACCATTATTACCACATATTTAGTAATTAGCCAGGTACTGAGCAGTAGTCAACAGGTAAGGCTGGTGTTTTGCTGCAATGTTTTATTAAATCCGAAATGATTGGATTAAAATGGAATGCAATCAGAACCTGGCTTTTAAGAGGTCGGGTTTTTCATATGTGTGTATCATTACGTACACCATTTGATTTAATTTTCACTTCCAGGGCAACTCCAAGGCAGCCACTTCGATTGTACCTTTGGTGATCACGGTGGAAACAGTCTCTGTTCGGTCAATGCTAATTTCACAGAAACCTCCTGAAGCTCCCACAGAAGTTGTCCAACTGTGCTTGGCACTTTAAAAAGTCTCTCGGTTACGTCTTCGGTTTCACTCTGCGAAATTTTGAACAATCACCCTGAAAGCTTCCCTTTCAAAATACAAACAGCTTAGAAAATTTAATAGCTAAAACACCTAAAACATACTGTAATATTTACACCCCATGATAAGACGTTTTTGTAACATTTGTTTTAGCAAGAACATACAAGAGGGGAAGAATAATTTCTATACAGCTGAAGTATAAATGTCTATGCATGTACAGTTAACCTCTGATTGTGTATATAATAGTTTTGTTTGTAGGTCATGGTACATGGGCAAAAGTTGTAAGCAATACTGATTATTAACGAGATGGACATTCTTCATCATATTGGTATTTTTTCTGTTCCATTTCACATATTGTTTTTCATGAACAGGGTTGGAAAGTAATAGAAGACATCATGTATTATTAAAAATGCCAAATTAAACTATTAGGTTGAACACTAACAATTTTCAATAAGGCTGGCAAAAAAATAAAATCATGATATATTTTCAGCTTAGAGGAAATTTCATGGTTTTATGTAAATAATGTTTTCTGTACATTAACTGGATATGTGAATAAATTAAACATAAATCAATTCAAATATATTTATATTTTATTGTCATATGTGTGTGTGTGTGTGTGTGTGTGTGTGTGTGTGTGTGTGTGTGTGTGTGTGTGTTGGGGGGTTATCACTGAAGCAGTACAAAACACTGCTGTTATCCTGAAATAGGTCTGGTGTTCTGAACCCATATCATTCTGAAGAGACATTACTGGATTTGCTAGAACCTAGCTAACATATCATTTATGTCTGTTGCCATTTTTAGGCCCTTAGAAAACTGCTGTGACAAACAATGTTTACAAACCAAGTAATCAGAATATACCACGAAATATCATCTAAATTGCATGAGCAGAATCAAATCTAGACTTTTACATACTTTTCTTTTTCAAATTTTTGCATTGTGTTCTGCAGAATAGAACTTATTCAAAAAGGTAATTACATTCTATTCTATTTCATTGTCATTGCTATTTGTTGTAGGGTTGTTTGATTGGTTTGATTGTAGATTGTGCCACCTGTACTGTACAATTGTTTGAATGAATAAATTCAACAGTTACAGCAGTCTACGCTTGATTTTATCATTCAGTTTTTTATAGGGGTCACTCTAATGGTTTCAAAATTTATTTAGAAAGTAATCAAGATGAAATGAAAGAACCTTCCCAACCCTATTCACGGAATTACATAGAGATGATGGATGTATTTATTTATTAATAATCTAAGTCTTTTCAAGGAAAAGCAGGTCACCATAGTCCTTGTATGGTGAAAGGACATTTACAGCCAGATATATATTCTTTCACTTATTTGTTCTTTTTGTGTACAGACAGTGTTTTGGAAATGATTCAGCTTCCTGTTTCCTGTGCTGCTTCTCACTGTTGCCAGTGTATCACGGCCCTGGTGAGAAATGTACCCGTCAGAAACCCCACAAACGTCTTGCTACTAATCATCGTATCCCTCACTCCTCCCCTCCCATTATCCCACCCAGAGTGTTAAAAGTTTTGTTAAGTGTCTCTCTTCATCTTGGGCTCGGCATCAGCAGTGAGTCATCCCTCCACCCACCTGCCTCTCCTCCCCTCTTTTCCACTTCTCCTCTCCCCTCTTTTTGATCTCCTTAAACCTCCCCCCTTCATCCACTCTGCTGCATCCCTCCTCCCACACTTTGAGGATACAAGATTTTTGTTTGTGTGTGTGTTGTCTTGTGGTGTGTAAGAGCTGTAACTGAGCCAATCTAATCCCCCCAGTTGTGTTTTCCCTCCCCTTCCCTGCGTATGTAGCCTAGCATGGCGAGGCGCTCATTCGCATGTGAGTGTGATAGCGAGGAGGAGGCACGGCTGAAGGTGGCGCCGCCATGGGCAGGGACTGGGGCGGGGGCCCGCTCGGGTGGGGGTGCGGCTGAGGGTGGGCGTGGGCATGAGCATGGGATGCTCTGGGTAGGGTGGAGGTGGCAGCTAGGTGGAGGGGGTGTGGGTAAGAGGAGGAGGTGGAGGAGGAGGAAGCCGGCTGGAGCTGATAGCTGGCTGCTGATGAAGGCCCAGAAGAAGAAGGTGTTGGCTGGGAGCTGCTGCCCCCCTTGGGTGGCTGCTGCGGAGGCGGGGTCTGGTTCAGCTGGATGGAGATGTCAGAGGAGACTTCCGAGGCGCTGCGGCCACGCTGTGGTGGAGGCCAGGAGTCTGGATGGAGGAACTGACCGCTGTAGTCGCTGCAGTCGGACATGCGGGGGCGGTAGAGGGCGGGATGAGGCCTGTATAGCTCCTCCTCAGCATAACGCTTCATGAAGAGGTAAACGGACATTACTCCTGCACCCTGAATCAGAGATACATTGAAACAAAGAAATGGTTACTGCAAAGCCATACATGTTTTTCTCAAATACAAGTACTCTTTAAAGAGAACTTCAAAATCTGCTCAAAAGCAGTGCTTCACTGCCCTCTGTAGTTCAAAGTTTCAAGTCTGTTGAACCTCTGACTACTCACAGCATCCATGATGATTATGGTTAGACTGTAACCACACCCAACAATGATCTCATGGTGTACTGAGACATCCTGCAGTACATTTCTAATTCACTGCAGCAAGGTGAGACGTAATACCACTGAAGGTCATTATAAAAAATAGTTTCAGGGTTTCAGGTCTTGAGTCGCTCCGCCAATTTTACACAAGTTCAGTTTTGTGATAAGAACTTGTATGGTCACCTGAGGGAACTTTCTAAAGTCTGAGAAAATCACCCTAGTGATGTCATCAAGGTAATCTCAGATTGAGTTTGGAGACTTCAAGTTTATAACAGATGGCATGGTTTTTCAAAGACGCTGGCATACCATTTACCATAAATAAGCAAATTTGTTTTAAGAGGATTGTAAAACCGTGGAAAAGTGTGGGTGCTTTCTAGTTTTTATTACTGTTTTTATGCTGCTTTTATGCATTGAATGTGCGCGTATTTGGCTTTATCCCTTGTATTTTATTACTCCTGTAGGCACTTCATATATTACAAAGCATTTATTGTTCTGTTATGCTCTTATTATGTCTGATGTTACATTTTTATCTATATTAGTATGTTGAGAGTATATATATATTCCCCACTGGTAATCATAGAGTTAATTTATTAAAATGTGTGAACATTACACGTTTTCAAATCAAATTAACAGTTTGAGATGGACAGAGAAGAGACTTCTTCCATCTATTTCCATCCATGAAAACTCATCGCCTGTATTATCACTGGGGATCAAAATGAGCTGCAGACTTTTCAGCAAATTCTCTGATGCAAAAAGCTTTTATAAAACATCAGAATCAGCACCATCCTCCTCCCTACATTGCAAGACACTGCCATCAGGAGGGGAAAAATGTTAATAAAGCCACAGTAATTTTACAGAAATTTGTCGCTCCTCGGTGGAATGAGCCATTATCAAAAATGTTTTCATGTTTTCACTTGGGTATCCGCTGAGCATTCACAGCTCATTCACTATTCATCCTCAACAACAGCGCTACAACCGCCTTTACAATTTAGAATCCTGATGAAGGTGGTTGTGTATGTTAGAGAAATAGTGTGTTTGTGACAAATCCCATGTTTAGCAGCTTCAGTTTAGACTGAAGGATAGTGACGAAAACAGAAAAAAATGTGGAGGAAGAGAGTGGAGGAGATAAGACTGGACATTAGAAATGAAACAAAAGGAAGAGAATGAGTGATAAAAAAGAAAAAGAGGGTAGATACAATGAAAGAATGGAAGAAACAGAGGAGATAAAAGAATAAAATAAAAAGAATGAGATAATAGAGGATTAGAGCAGGAAAGATGACAGCAGAGAAGACAAATGTAGAGGACAAGAGAAGAGGAAAAAATAAGATTATAGAAAAGGAGCAGACAGAAAAGAGAAGAGAAGGGTAGAAATGCTACAAGATGGAGGGGGAAAGGAGAGGAGAAAAGAAAAGAGAAGAAGGGAGAAGAGAGGAGATGGGATGAAAGGACTGAACACAAGAGGAGAGGGAGAAGAGCAGAGGAGATAGAGAGGAAGAAAATAGAGGGGAAGATCCAGAAGAGGATTAAAGAACTGAAGATAAAAAGAAAAAAGAAAAGACAAGATAAAAGTAGAGGACATAGAGAGACAAGAAACTGGAGGAGGAAACGAAAGAGGTGCAGTGAAAAAGATAAAAGGGAGGAGTGAAGAATCGAGTAGCAGAGCCCCCCCCCCCCCCCTTGTGGAATATTCTGATGCATATGAAGCTGCGCTGCGACAGAGCTGCTGCCCTCAAGTATTCAAGCTATTAACATTTATGAATATTGATGCAGGCAGGATGACGGGCTCCTACGCAGGCACAAGTGTGTGTGTGTGTGTGTGTGGTGTGTGTGTGGTGTGTGTGTGTGTGTGTGTGTGTGTGTGTGGTGTGTGTGTGTGTGTTTAGCTGTATAAGTCTGCATTTCAGCAAGATACAAGCAATTTGTGTGTGTTTGTACTCATGCTTGAGTGTGTTTAGCTAAACGGTGTTTGGTCGACATCCAAGACAGATTCCAAACAATCTGTGTGTGTGTGCCTATGCACATTAACTCTTTTGTCAGTTACGTAGCGTTAGTAAATGTTAAGCATCAGTACATATTAGTGTCACTTTGAACTGCTCAGTGGGCATTTGTGTTTACTTGAACACATCTTCAGTGTGTGTCTTCGTGTGTGTATTTTGTCCACATTCACATACACAGTGTTATTATTTATATGTTTCGTATTCAGGCATGTTTCTGCCTTTGTGCATTTCCGAATGATCATGTGTTTGTGTGTGTGTGTGTGTGTATTGTTCTTCAATCACCTCTTTAAGAAGGAAGGAGGAGGCAGCAAAGGCAAAGGACCAGCCGTAGCGGTAGTGGAAGAACTGCTCTGGCTCTCTGGGTCGGTTCATCACCTCGTCATTAATACTGGAGATATACAAGACCAGACCAACGACCAGACTGAGACCTGCAGACACACAAACACACACTTACACACACATATAATATTCATACTGTTATTGCTGCAAATACAGAGGGTTTTACCCTCGGGAGGTCCTCTCTCCCATGTATCAAACATTCACCTCTTGCAGAAGTAAAAGGCACAATCTATATCCACGGTGCTGATCCTTCTGTGTGCCCCAGAGCAGACACAGGCACTTAGGAACCTGTGTGTACCCCATATACTATACGAAAATACTGAGTATGTAGGTGGACAAATGAATAGTTTGTCATGAAACGTGGTCACTAAAGACCCTTTTCATGGCAGACATTTTGACCACAGGTGGAACTGATAACAATAATAATGGCTACATTCAAGTTAGGTGAGCCAGTTCCAAGGCTGTGGTATTGTGTTTGCTCACTGACATGGCTTCCTGGGACACTTTCTAAGCCATTGTTAATGTTATTATTTACACCTGTGCTTTTCCTGCTTAGTCAAAATGTATGCTGTGAAAAAGTTCTATTGGAAACCACTGTGAGTCAAGCTAACTACCGGTGCCACCCTCTGTAAAGCAGCAGGCAATGGGATTTAAAATGCCACTTTTTAAGTCTACAGGACATGCAGGATTTGGCCAGCTAAGCATCACTATCTTGTCGTTTACACACATGTTAACTCACAAATATTCATTAAGAAAACATTTAATTGAAAAATGCTGTAGTTACACTAACTCTCTTTAGTGTCAACTCATTGTTTTGGGGTCTTATATGCTTTCCTGAAATGAGAGTGACATTTCAGCAGCCATTCTGAATGGACCGACAACTGAACAGGGTCAAATGTTGGTTCAATATGTGTTCAGTAAAATGTGTCACAGATGCATTTTCCAGAGTGAAAAAGGTTTAATGCTGAAAACAAAACTGACAAAACTAGAGCTGCCAGACCAGGTCGACCAACTGAGGAGGAAGAGAAAGAGAGATTATAACACTGTTCCGTTCCTCACAAATGTTTCACAACCCTACAAACTACAAGTAACTAGAAAACTCGGAGGTGCAAGGCTAATGTTGCATTACCCTTGTTACCCTATAATACCAGTCCCATTTGAATGGGTCTTTGGTCTCTTTGTTTAAGTCTGTGTGTGTGTGTGTGTGTGTGTGTGTGTGTTCTGTCGCTGGAAAAGCTAATGATAACGTGTCCTCACTGTACTGTAAATAGGCTGTGAAAACCCCAACAACAGGCTGTGCTGTGGTAAAGAGATAAACAAGGACAGTCACACACACACACACACACACAGTAAACCCTCATTAGGAGTGTGTCAGTGCACCCTCCCCTGTCGACAGACTAAACACTGCAGCTGACCTCCAAAATCCTCCAGCAGTGAAACTGACATACCAAACACAGCAAAGATGCTTTCCTTTAATAATCACCATACATATAATTTTCTCTCAAAACAGATCCCATATAAGTTAATGTAGTGTTATATGTTACAATTATTCTATACTAAACAGAAAAGAAATAAGTAACACAAGCCTACATGGCCTTTCATTTGAAAATATGTTAAGTGGATTTAGGCTTTTGAGTCAGGGTGTCGCAGAGGCTCTGTGGCACTGCAGAGTGGATGTGCTCCTCCTTAAAAATGTAGCTACATGTCAGGGCTTAGGAGATCAGCATATGAACCACAACAACAGTGATTGGTCAGCCTGTACTGCATGTGGTTCCCCCATGTTTCCAATACTTGCACTTCACCATATGAAGACAAAATCGATTAAAGAAAGACTTCTTTTTAGTAACATTAGGAATTATAATTTGTGATTCAGCAAAACCATTTCTGTAAACTTTTCCTCAGGGGTTGACACCAATTTTTTTAAGTAGCTAATGTGGTGGTGGATATAATGGTTGCTAGGAGAAGTTAACATTTTTCACAATGATCAAAGAAATGTTGTTTTGGGAGTTGTTACTTCTGGTAGTCCAATTAGAACAACCTGTACAGCTGCGTCAATGTCATTTACAGTTTGTTTGCCAACATATCTGTGGCAATATTTCTGTCACTTTGCTGAATGAATGTAGGTAGAGAGACGACACCACCATTCTTAATCCCACAAAACAAAAATTTGTTGGCCGTATCTCTGATCAATATCAGGCCTCCAGTTTTCCAGTCCAACAAATCAGCAATATGAGCAGAAATTGAGAGGTCTAGAATCAGGCTAGAACACAATTTTAAAGACAGATGCTTCTAGAAAATGTTCAAAATTAAGTCATAGTTCATTTTAAAGGATAATGCATCTGAAGAAGTGCATTCTTGGATGTCCAACTAACTACCAACCACTGCGTAGTAACTTGTTACTAATTAGAATTATAAAGGCCATGAGGTGGGCTCTGCATTATCACCTAATCTGGGGGCCCTTCCTCATAAACTGGTGCAAATATAGCCTTTATTATTTCAGTTAAGTGATGCATATTCCCATTTACATTTGTGTTTAGGAAAATGACCATAAATTTATTGACACACAACAAATCTGGGGCCAGGTAATATTTTAGCGTAGGATAACTCGCTGGCTTCTGTGGCTGGAGGAAAATAAAGTTAAAATGAAACTGTGTGCAATGTGCATGATGGGCACTTGTGCACTTCAGTAAACAGAGAAAGGTGATATGCAGAATGGTAGTCAATATGCAGAGGTCATACTGTATGGGGGATTTAGAACCTACCCACGTCAGTAAAGTGAAATACGTAAATTGAGCGAAGTTTTTATAATGTTTAGACATGACATATTAATGCAAACATGCACAAACGCCCCAAGATCTGCCTGCAGTCAACAGCAACAAGATAGAAAATTGAGTGTTTGCTGTTACAACAGAGAACTTTCATCTGGAAACTGATTAGCAAAGCACCATCTGGTGCTGATTGGAAATACCTGTTCAACAGTGAGATTGTACACAGCTGTGTAAAACGGAACTAATCAAAGCAGGAGACACAAAGTCCTTAAGGAGGCACACGGGGGGGTAGATGGAAAGTTGAGGCATATTTCCTGGAAGAATTTATATCTTTGCCACAGGAAGTAATGTGATTTATGATTGTGGAAAAACAAAAGACAGCTTTGATTGCGATTTGTTTTAAATAACATACCACTGAGCTGACTTATCTCATGCTATATGTAATTTTAAATACTATTTTATATCTTAATTTGCTCATAGTGTCATCACCCTGTCAATTTTATTGGCTCCAAGAAAAGCTGAAAGTTGAAAACAATATCTAAAAGAAGAGGTAAGAATGACTGAGTAGCAACAGCCAGACAGAGGGACGACCAGACAATGAAAAGAGCTCCACCTACAGAATGTCAATCGAACATGAAAATAATACAGAAATGATTGTCACATCCTGTTTGATCGGAGAATGAATGAATATTATTTATATATAAATAAATATATATATATATAAATAGTAGAAACATATCTAATTTATGTGTACTCAAATTCAGTGGTAACAGTTTCCATTAAAGTTCATGGATGATAAGTCAAACTGGTAGGTAAAATTGTGAAAAAGGGAGAAAAACATGTGACAGAGCTGTAATGTCCTGAGTAGGCCATCAGGTGGCAGTGTTGTGGCTCAATGCTCATCTCAGCAACAGCCTTCTGGTGTGGACACCACATGTGTATGAACGTGCACACACACATTCACAGAGGGAGAGGGGAAAATTACCAGAGAAGGGAAAAAGGAGACAGAATTGGAGGAGAGAAATTACTGGAGGAAGGACAGATAGGCAAAATGGGAGGAAACAGCTGGTCCACAGCCACCATGTTGTAACCTCAGGGTGCACTGTGAACCAGCAGTTTTTATGATGGGCAGTTTTCCTAACCAAAGTACGCACATGCTGACTGAGACAAACAGTGCAGTTTTTGCTGCAAAATACCACTGATTTTGAAAAACATGATCTTTTATGGTATAAAAGAACAAGAAAAAAGTGTTGAATCAAAAAAGTTTAAAGTAAGTGTTGTCAAATGGCAAGCATTGATTTCTGCACTTAATCTTCTTTGTGCTGTGAACCATCAGACAGAAATCTCTGCCTATTTCTGTCAGGGAATATGCTTTTATTCCACTCAGAAGCTGCCTAGCAATTACTAGTTGATGAAATTACTTCTTAAAGTGAGAGACACGACACATATGTATAAAAGCAATTCAGGTTTATTCTCTGATTCTGTTTTTGCACTTAAGCTTTTCTATAAAAATAAGAACAGTGCTCTCACATCTTTGTAAGATGATGTTGCCAAAGTCTCTTTGTTTCTCTCTGTGTGCTTAGTCAGTAATGTAAGTGTTGTCAAATAAGTTTTGTCAAGCTACAAACATTTGTGTAATTTTTAATAAGCTACAGTATTAAAACAAATTTACACATTTTGTTAATAATTTTGTTAATAAATTACCTTATATCATATTCATGAGATGTGAAATGTCCAATCACCACATACACCATGTCTGTATATAAACTGATTTTATGTGACATCTAGGAAAATTGCATATCGTGTGTCCTCATGTCTTTGAGCTTGTCTATGTGTATCTGAATGGGTGCGTGTATGTAGTGCATGCATGTGTTTTTTTCCATCTTGGCTCAGTGACATTCCTATGACTCCATGGTTATCACGCTTGTCCAAATGTCCGGTCAGCAGTCCACCATGCTAGGCTAGCATCTGTGAGGTAAAGCTCCCTAATGCAAAAAAAAAAAGAGGATGAAACAGGGAGGTGATGTCATCCTGTCAGCTCAGAGAAAGAGAGAGAGACTAATGAGGTAAAAAAAGAAATCCCAACAACCACTTCATCAGCCGAACGCTCGACCCTGCCCTTGAGGTAACCGACCAGAAACGTCACCCAGCTGTCCTGCAGCGACAATGAGGAAAGGATGTCACCCTGTTGGCTGCACTTCACAACAGGATTCTGATATAAATGAAACAGAAAGCTCAGTGAAAGATTTCACAGCTCTCTTTCAGCAACGTGGCAGAGAAGACTTTCTATAGTTAAATGTTAATCCTCAGTGAAACAGCAAGATGGATTACAGGTGCAAACTTTGTTCTGAAAGAGAAAGTTCTCTTTTCTTTCTTTGTCTTTTTCACTCAATTTGAAGCACATCGTGCTTGTAAACAAAGTCATGTAGTTTTAAATGTAGGTCATTTATCAGACAGATTTTTAGTCACCAGTTTTATTGTTGGCAACATACTTCAGGAATTAGAAAATTCCAACCCATCAGCTTGTCCCCAAGCCTATAATAAACTGATGGACGACTGTGGTGGACCATTTCTGACAGTGATAGGGAAGGTGGTACTCCACCTAAAATCTCTAAAACACTCACCCCATGTACGCTTGAAAGGTGGCTAAGAAAACTTGCTGCTCCTTTACCAACAGTGGCTGTGGTAAACGTTATGTCAGCTTCTGGAAACCTATGAACTCTGCAAATTTGTTTGTAGTAACAGCATGAAACTAGACATCTCTTAAAGCACTGCAGCAGCACAATCAATTTCTCCTAAAAATTCATAGTTTTTTTCCATAATCTGGCTAAATACAGTACTTTTGACAAAATTGACCAAATTACACATTAACACAATTCTGAATGTTGAGATCTAGATAGGTTTTTCTGTGAAAATGTTTCTTCTATTATGCTTTGATGTGTGCATTATGAGGCCATTTCTGTCCTTTGTGTACTTCTGCCTTCTCTTAGATATGTGTCAACAATAGTTGGTTTGCCAGTTATGTAAACCAATAAGGAATATTGTTGTTTGTCCATAGCAACTATTTTAGACCCTTTAGCTGATGATACACGGGGCAACTTTTTGAGCAGTGTTGCTGGGCAATCTTGCTAGTGGTAGTAATCTTTACTCATTACCATTGATGGCAACGTTGCCCTGCACCATTGCTCTAAAAGTTGCTCTGTGTATCATCAGCTTTTGTCTGCAGATTTTGGTGTCTGGTTTTGGGTTTTCCTGTGTGTGTTGTTGGGGCATAACAAACATGTTCCTTTCTAATATTTGCAAGCCTATTTCAAAACCCGCATTGTTTACATCAGTGTCTACTAAGTTACAGTCTTCTTCTTCCCATTTGCTGGCCCATAGCTATGTTTTTTGGTACATTACCACCACAGACTGTTGTTTCTTTGAAACCATTGGCAGGAAATATAATAATAATAATGTTTTCTTGCCTGCTTCTACAGTCCCGATGAATTAGGGTGCCCTTGGATATCCTTCCTCATGTATGTGAACGAGATAAAAACAGATGACCTGCTCATAGAAACATTGATCCATACCTAATTTCACAAAGTGCCTTTCATTTTTATTTATAAGTGCAAGTCCCTTCTAAATTCCTTTCTGTCAAATGAGTTGAAACCAAGCGGGAACCTCAATGTCTGAAAAGTGAAGCCAATACAGAAGTACCTTAAAACTGAATTCTTTCCAATGGCCAGTAGGAGGCAACTCCACTGGTTGCCAAAAGATGTCCGATTGCATTACACTTAAGTGCAAAATGACCCTACTTCTCACTTGATTTATTACCTCAGTAAACACTTACCTAATGAGTTTATGATCTCAATCGCTAGTTCCAAGTCTTTTTCAACACAACATGATGTTTATTTTGGAAATTATGGTCCCATTTAGAGGAAAATACATAAATGATAAAGCAGTGGATGCTTCAGGGTAGCGACTTGTCAATCATGGTGTGATGGGGTTGAGGTCAGGGTTCTGTGCAGGCCAGTCAAGCTCTTGAACACAAAACTGGGGAAACTATTATGGAGCTGGCAGAGTGTACAAGGGCATGTTGAAACAGGAAGTTCAAAAAATCACTGAGCATTAAGATTTCCTTTCATTGGAACTTAAACACCCAACAAAAACATGAAAAAGCCTTAGACCAAAAGAATGCTAAAATATGTATGTGGCCATACGGTGTAATTTGGATGAATTTAATTCCCTGGAAGGCAAGTCTTTTTCTAATCATGTTTAAGAAGGCTAAATTCCCGTGCCAAGTTCGTGTCAGCTTTTACAGAGAAGCAATAGAAAGCATCCTGATGTGCATGGCCCAGGACCAGAGGGCTCTGCAGTGGGTTATTAAAACTGCTCACAAGATCATTGGTACCCATCTCCCGAGCATCAGTGATGTCGGTGAGGTGACATGCCTACGCAGGATATTAAGGGGCAGTATCCACCCCAGCCACAGACTGTTCACCCTGCTGCCTTCTAGGAAGAGATACAGAAGTTTCAGCTGCCGCACCAAAAGGCTGCAGAAATCACCGATACAAGAGCAGAAGAGAGTTACAAACGTAATTTCACCTTACAATTTGTTGTTATGTGACAAATAAACCTACCTTCTTCTACCTTATTTGTTTAAATAGAGACTGGCAAGCGGGTCTATAATAGAATAGAGTGTGATCAACATTTCATCCAGAAACGTTCCACTCAATTGAGGCTTTCAGCTACGTGGCTGGAATAGAATTTGACTGCACTGAAGGCTGGTGTCCAGTCTACTCCAGAGAGATAATGGGAGAGCTTTGGCTCAGACCAAAAAGGTGTCATCCTAAAGAAAACCACCATTACCGACTATCTAGTTGAAGTGTCAAACTACAACAAAGTCGCTTTCCAGGCTATTTGGTTTAAGTTTTAACTTTTTACCAAATGCCTACAGTGAAACATCCAATCTCTGCTGCCCTGTAGCTTCCACAGCAAAGAGCAATTATTTGGAATTAAATCCTGTTCACTGTTCAGCCAGCAGCAAGTACAAGGTAAGGCCTGACAAGCTGTCAACGGGGAAAAGTAAAGAGAAGCTGCAGAGTGAGTCTTCCATCCACTGAGATATCTTTTTATCATTAACCTTGAAGAATGTTGCCTTTTAACAAGCTCACTTCTCTTCTGCTGCTCTTCTTCTGCTCTGCTGCTTTTTAACATGTTATTTAAGTTGGCAGGTGAGGAAGGAGTTTGACACTTTCACACAGATCTTATTCCATACCTCTGCCTTTTTGCCTGCTTCTACAATCCTGATGAACTAGGGTCCAATGGCTTTCCCAAAGATCCTGCAGCGATAGTTGTTTAGGTAACAGAGAGTATTTATCACTCAAACAGACCAATCTAATCCAATCCAGCAAGCTATCTTTTCTCATACATACATTTACTTTTTTTATATCAAAGTGTCAAGGTTGCTGTTTTGTAATATACTGAAAAAGTCAACACATCCCATGTCATCCTTCAAGTTAACACATATGCATTCATAAATTCTTTGCCAGTGCTGGGAAAAAATACCTGAATACTGCATTCTTGTTTCTAAAAAGATAATTTGTTTCAAGAACAAATAGTCCTCTTCAGATTGACACTATATCCATGTAAAATGAAAAAGGAATTGGGAATGAGACAGCAGTTTGTACTTTTTGACTGTCTGACTGGACAGTATCACAAATCTTTTTTGTACTTTGTACTAATTGATTTATATTTTACTGCATTATACTTTTACTATTGCAGTTTGACAAAGTTTTACAAACTCAACTTTGCACGCATAGAATATATTGAGGTAATAAAAAATGTGTAGCTGTGATGTAATCTGGTTGTACTTTGACAAATACATCCTGTTCTTTAAGGACAACCGACAACAAAGCTGAAGTGTTCCAAACTGTTTGTCTTGTTGCGGAACGTAAAAGAAAATACTTTTGTAATAAGGGTGGTTGTGGACAGGAAGGTCAAAATGTAATATAAGGAACTGTTTAAGATCTCTGATTAACTTTATTCCTAAAGCCTTTTTTATCCAGGGTCTACTTCTAAGTATTCACCATCCTTGTGCCAAACTGGAAAGCCTGCAATTTAAAGCTGAGCAAGAAAAGAGTGACCCGAGAGCAGCCGAGGAGAGTTCACGGTCGGCTTAAATCACTTGATCATAAACCTAAACTGCAGAGGGATGTCCGGCCAAAAGACAGAAAAATATTCCTTTGACGGTGCATCAGTCCCATTAGTCACCTAGAGCTTACTTGATTTTACTTTTAGCATAAATACACTGAGGAAGTCGCATTTTGTATTCCTAGAAAAGAAAATACATTCTATCCACAGATTCTCTGACAGCTGTGTACTTGGGTTTGTCTCCCAGGCTGCTTTGCAAGGACTAAAACTCACAGCAGAATAATTGGAAAATATCAAAACAAACCATGACATGAACAGCCTGGAGTCTGTAGTTGTTCCACAAGGGTGTAAAATTTTGTTCTGTGAGTTTTTCATTGTTTGCAAACCTTGTTTTCATGCACAAACACAAGGTCTGTGTGAACTGAATTCCACTTTAAGACTTACGATGCAGGGGCTGGGGATGTCTTTTATGACTTCAAATGTCAAACTGAACACATACAACACCCTCACACCGACACTTTTCCACAGGTTTGTAATGTACCTGTTCCTTCTAGGTGCACAGTACCTGACAGTATGAAGAATATTCCAGAAACAAAGGCGAGGATGGTGCGCTGCGGCCGAATGTGTCCAATGTTGCTGATTACGAAAGCAGTGAAGACAAAGAGCAGTGACACCATCGGGAAGGGAGTGGCAGTTCGGACCATTTCTGGAGGACAGGAAGGATTGTTAGAGAAGGGCAGACATCATTAAAGCTGGGGTATATATATATAAACCTATATTCAAACTGGAAAAGTCCCATTGAGACAGTCTCTTTTACAAGGGAGTCCTGTATAGCACAAGTAAAAAAGGAGTTGAAAAACAATACCTTACGTAAGTTAAAACACAATACAATACAAATTTACACAAAATGTACAAACTATTTACATAGACAAAAATGCAATGAGTTAAATATGTAAACAAACGAAATGATAAAAAGACTAAATGTAGAGATCTAACTACAGTTAATTAAAAACAAGTGTCCGTTAGAATGTCTGATATTCTTTTTTCAAAAGCAGCTAAAGAAATTGGGATGCCAATCTTAAGCTTAGACTGGAGTTCAATCCAGGACGATGGGCCGTAGTAAGACAGACTCCTCTTTCCAGCTTCTGTCCTTATTCTTGGTATCCCTCACTAGATCTTAAATGATATGTACTTTGCATGTGAGAAAACTTTAAGAAGGCAAAACACCTTAAATGCCTTTATAAATGAAAATGTCAAATGCCAATTTACCTGTGGTCACTGGAGTCAACACTTGACTTTAACCCGCCTTGGATAACTATAACCTGGATGACTGAGAATCTTCACAGACAGCCACAGATACTGGATTTTTTTTTTTTAAACAATTTTGTGTCAGAGCATTTGATTTATGGATTTCTGTTTCAACAAATATTACAAAAATGCTTCTGAAATAAATTGCCTACCCTTGCTTTAAAAACAAGATCATGTAGATTAGCAGGAGAAAATATTTATAAATGAAGATGCTATAAATGCTAGACTGGTGCCTAAAGACCTAAACCTTGAATTCTGGCATGTGTTTTAAAATGTAATTGAATAGTCAGCTTTGTTGCTGCATAACATTTTTCTACAGTGTAAAAACTGTAGAAGGCAAAGACGTGAGTAATTTGACATGTGCAAACTATGAATATTAATTGTTCTTGTGTTAGTGAGAAGATTATGAGTCTTGTGCAATGAAACCAGCCAACAAATCCTTTTAAATTTGTAATTACTTTGTATTCAAATATCTTGCACGATCAAAACCTTGTTATTGCACTCATTAGATGGTTTGGTTCCTGTTCCTCACTTCAGAGAATTTCAACTTTTGCATTGAAATTACTATATATATTAAAGTAACTGGAGCTGAGCGCTTAAAGCAACAATATGTTGTTTTTTGCTCACTTGGGGGCAGAGGAATAAACTATAAATATGACATTATGGTAAATATGTTAACAAACAGCTGCCGATTTATACGTCCTGCAAACATTATCATTCATTTGGATTTGTGTACCTGGTTAACGCCCACTTGTCTTTTCACTCTGTTTTGGTGTCCACCAACCCCTGAGAGAAATATCTGGCTGCTAAATGCTATGAAATTGTTAAACAGGTAGTTGTTAACTTTGTTAAACATTATTAGAGTGTTTGGCTGAAACTGCTCAGATGAGAGTCTTTTATGAACCAAAAAAACATGTTTTGTGTTGAAAGTGTGTAGTGACACCACATTCTTTCCTATGAAATAACCACCATGACGTGACAACAGCATATCCAAATACATTTTTACTGCATTCTTATAACCAGAGGTCTGCTGAAGCATACTCGGGATTATGTTGAGGGAGGCAGTGTATGATTTATTCAGCAAGCTCTCCCACAGTGCCACTACAGTGTTATGACTTGTGCGTCTACCTGAGGACATTTATCTAGCATTAAACGGACCAAACGTCTTCCCCCCGGTGCCCCCTGACAACAGTGTGTGCTTTACTTCAAAGAGATGGAACAAACTGCGGCGGGGAGAGCACTTTGAAGCCAGTTCGCAGTGTCAACATCTTAAATCATTAAAACAGCTCAGAGACAAGATAGCTCAGTTGGGAACTTCAGAAAGCTCTTGACATTTATTTACTGTCTGACCAAACAAATATGTTCAGAATACAGGTTGTAGTTGAAAGGTTCTTTGGCAACTCTAGGTAACTAGTAGTGAAAAGAAGCCTTTCTGCAGCATTTTATATGGTCTATTTTGAAGCAGAACAATTTTCTCAGTCCATTCCTTAAGATTGTCTAAAAAATTCCCAATCACAAAATTTAGAGATTGGCATCACATGTTCTATATTAATTATTTTGGATTGGACTGTGAAGGGTTAAGTGAAAAACAAAGATTATATGGAACAACATCTATCAATCTATTCTGAGTTCTTTACAATATTGAAATTGAAGTAAATCTTAATACACCCACAAACACGGTTGGACTTTTTTGCAGATGGAGACAGTGGCCTGATGAGACAACCAATGACACCTGATCCCTATTAAGTCTCACCTACTATATGTGAAGTTTGCTGCTGTCGTACCCTGTCAGTAGGTAGAAGAGAAACTGGGAGTAAAACAGAAACACTGTAGATCTTGTTTATTTAGTGTTCATAGTATTTTTTATAACGCTCTTCAAAGGTGGTTATAGACCTTAAGCATCAGTCTTTCTTTCTTATCCTCAAGTTTTGTAGACCATACATACCATGTAAATACAGTAACCATGTGTATGATCTTGTGTCGGGAATATATAGCTGTTTTACATTGCATTAATTATTACATTAATTCATATTTCTCTATATAGATTTAGTGTGCTGAAGTATTTTTTGTATTTACATGTGATTTTCTGTCCAGTTGAGTTGTGAATCATGAAATCATCAAGAACCTCAACGAAATTGTTAAAGAAATAAACAATTTTTTTAACCCATTTCTGGAGGCAAACAAAACTAAATTTCTATATCTGAGCTCTTATTTCTACAACTAGCCACAAATATCGGATTAAACATACCACACACAAACGTTTTTTGTAAGTTTGACTTTGTAGCTTTTTAACTTTGACCATTCACATATTGCTTTAAAGTCATTTAGCTAAAAACTGTAATCATAAAAGCAGCGTTAAAGGTCAGTAGACGTATGCACATGTCTCCTAAAACCTTCAACTTTTGATTGTGTGTGCTTGCAGGAGGAACAACAACAACATTATTTAACATTACACTGTTAGAGCCTCCCAGAGAGATCTGCATCATAATCTGTATATCACATTTAAAAACATTTGAATCTGATATACAGTATATCGGAACTTCTTAGATGGACCTTGTTATATTGACATTAAAAGCATTACACAGTATTTTTTTCTGCTTCAAGGAAATAAAAATGCTCCCGGACATCATCTTCTCAAATGCAATTAAAAAAACAGTGTTAATCTACTTTTTCCAATTAAAAGTAATGGTGATTTTGTCAATAGTTAAATACTTCAGTTGAATAATATTCCCTCTACATGAGCATGTTTGTGGGCATGTGACTTACTGAGTATGTTGGCGGTATTTTCTGTTGTGATCTCTATCTCTGGCTCGGTGAAATACTCTGCTGCCACACATCTGCCCTTCTCTGGTCCTGAGAGAGAAAACAAGGGAACAGAGTGAGAAAGAAAGAATGAAGAGAGGAACGTGGGAGGTATCAGGGTCTTCTTTGGGTCACAAGCAATATGGAAATATTTGCATATGTAAAGAAAACCAGAATAAATAAACAAACAAACCAAAAACAGAGATAAAAATCCAGAGAAAGGGCAGAGAGGGCACGGAGTGAGACTGAGGGTTTGCGAAGACAAGAAAAGAGATTTAGAAAGGATGAATGAAAAGAGCGGTGAGAGAGGATAGTGAGATAAAAACAGAGAAACAGGGAGGCAGAGAATGAAATTGAGATATAAAGTGAATTACAGGTAGAGACAGATGGAGGACAGGAGGTTCAGGAGAAAACAAGATCTGAGCTGAGAGAGAGAGGAGCTGAATCCAGACACAGTGATTAACCTCAAACTGTAGGCATAGAGAGAGAAGACACACACAGAAAATATGTCAACAAAATGAGGCATACATACACAGACAAACATGATTTCTCCCGCCCACCACACACACACATGGTCGTTCCAAATGCCACCAGCGTTTTCCTCCTCTGACCTTTTGTACCAGGCGTCAGACGACAGGGAAACACAAACATGGCCGCCTCCCCAGAGCAACACCATCATGACCCGAGACAGAGACACATACTACAATAAGGACAGTTATTTGTATATCTGCGGTGTCCACCCTGCTGTGCGTGTTGAAATGAATGCATGCATAAATGAATACTCATCTTTTTTTTGTGAAGGCTGCACAACCTTTTAAAGGCAAATTTCAACCGGGGGTAACACACTTCTTCACTGAATCTCTTAATGTCTGTGCACTCTCGATTGAAAATGTATAAAGTTACATTTAAATATAATCTTTTGCTATGAATCATGCAACATTAGAGTTGATGTTAGGGTCAGGGATTAGGGTTATAATGGCCATCTAATGGCTGTGAGTGACAATTCAACAACAAGCGTGTACTGTTGGAAACCAGCAGTGAGTCACCCTGAAATGAAAAGCTGTTAACATGAACAGTGCTTTCATATGACCTTCTGAGTGGGCTGATTAGTTCCCATTACCTGACAATGCTATCTTTACTCTCACAGGAATAAAATGCACTAACGATAGTGAGTAACAATGCTAATTAGCATGTTCTTGCAATCGGGTGGATTTTTCTTTATTGCTCTGACCCCAAGAGGTCTGTCCACATACAGTGAGGAAAATAAGTATTTGAATACCCTGCTATTTTGCAAGTTCTCCCACTTCATGAAGGGGTCTGAAATTGTCATCGTAGGTGCATGTCCACTGTGAGAGACATAATCTAAAAAAAAAAAAATCCAGAAATCACAATGTATGATTTTTTAACTATTTATTTGTATGATACAGCTGCAAATAAGTATTTGAACACCTGTCTATCAGCTAGAATTCTGACTCTCAAAGACCTGTTAGTCTGCCTTCAAAATGTCCACCTCCACTCCATTTATTATCCTAAATTAGATGCACCTGTTTGAGGTCGTTAGCTGCATAAAGACACCTGTCCACCCCATACAATCAGTAAGAATCCAACTACTAACATGACCAAGACCAAAGAGCTGTCCAAAGACACTAGAGACAAAATTGTACACCTCCACAAGGCTGGAAAGGGCTACGGGGAAATTGCCAAGCAGCTTGGTGAAAAAAGGTCCACTGTTGGAGCAATCATTAGAAAATGGAAGAAGCTAAACATGACTGTCAATCTCCCTCGGACTGGGGCTCCATGCAAGATCTCACCTTGTGGGGTCTCAATGATCCTAAGAAAGGTGAGAAATCAGCCCAGGACTACACGGGAGGAGCTGGTCAATGACCTGAAAAGAGCTGGGACCACCGTTTCCAAGGTTACTGTTGGTAATACACTAAGACGTCATGGTTTGAAATCACGCATGGCACGGAAGATTCCCCTGCTTAAACCAGCACATGTCAAGGCCCGTCTTCAGTTGGCCAATGACCATTTGGATGATCCAGAGGAGTCATGGGAGAAAGTCATGTGGTCAGATGAGACCAAAATAGAACTTTTTGGTCATAATTCCACTAACCGTGTTTGGAGGAAGAAGAATGACGAGTACCATCCCAAGAACACCATCCCTACTGTGAAGCATGGGGGTGGTAGCATCATGCTTTGGGGGTGTTTTCCTGCACATGGGACAGGGCGACTGCACTGTATTAAGGAGAGGATGACCGGGGCCATGTATTGCCAGATTTTGGGGAACAACCTCCTTCCCTCAGTTAGAGCATTGAAGATGGGTCGAGGCCGGGTCTTCCAACATGACAATGACCCGAAGCACACAGCCAGGATAACCAAGGAGTGGCTCTGTAAGAAGCATATCAAGGTTCTGGCGTGGCCTAGCCAGTCTCCAGACCTAAACCCAATAGAGAATCTTTGGAGGGAGCTCAAACTCCATGTTTCTCAGCGACAGCCCAGAAACCTGACTGATCTAGAGAAGATCTGTGTGGAGGAGTGGGCCAAAATCCCTCCTGCAGTGTGTGAAAACCTGGTGAAAAACTACAGGAAACGTTTGACCTCTGTAATTGCAAACAAAGGCTACAGTACCAAATATTAACATTGATTTTCTCAGGTGTTCAAATACTTATTTGCAGCTGTATCATACAAATAAATAGTTAGAAAATCATACATTGTGATTTCTGGATTTTTGTTTTTAGATTATGTCTCTCACAGTGGACATGCACCTACGATGACAATTTCAGACCCCTCCATGATTTCTAAGTGGGAGAACTTGCAAGATAGCAGGGTATTCAAATACTTATTTTCCTCACTGTAGTTACACATGTATGAAAACAGAAAGTAAATGGATAGTGAAGCAACCAAGTGCACACAGGCAAATCCTCAATTACAACTTTATAGAAAGCATTATTGTTTTAACAAACAGAACGATTTGTTATATTTTTGGTGCACTGACATAGTGCCTAATAATGCTTTCGGTTGCTAACTGGAGAGTAAGTTAATTCAAGCAAACATATTCATACTATTATCTCGTCTTATGATCGTTTGCAACCGTGCTACATCTCTTTGCGGAGCAGTCTGTCACTGGGAGAGCTTGGTTGCATGCATGTAAAATTAGATGATGCAACACACAGATAATATGATAGCTTCCTACATTTTGGACTCTCCACCTCTATTCAGTCATGCTCACATGGCTCCACCTGACCATACACTCTTCTACATTTTGCCCATTTGCTTTGAAACAGGTGTCAATCTTGTCTCCTGGCAATGGTGGTTAACAGTCACGCTTTAAGTTGATTGTAGATTGAAATAACAAACAGTGTAAAGGAGGACAGGTGTGGTTAATGGGAAGAGGGACTCCAACAATTGTTTCACATTGTGGAAAGGGCCATACTAACAGTGACATGAAATGATGACCAACCTGCCACAAAGCAGACCCTCCAGAGGCCAGAGTGCAGCGCCATCTTGACCTCGGTGGTCTGGTTCTGCTGTAGGACAATTCCCTCCTCCATCAACAGCCAGTAGTCTGTTGACACAGCAACTCCAACCAAGAGCAAACCACATGCCCCGAAAACCGACGAGAGCAGCGTCAAAGCCCTTGTACTGAATGAACTCATCTGCAGAGAAAAAGACAACAATTTTAGTTATCAGATAGACTTCAGCTGTATGTTGACGAGGAGGAGAGAACATTCAAAAAGGTGTTGGCCTGGTTGGTCTTTAAATTAGTAAACTAGTAGTAAGTGAGTTGATAGAAAGGGACAACAGAACAGAGGAAAGTATTCAATTTAGGATTAGAGAGCTGGAGGAATTCAACAACTAAAAACCCCCCAAAACATGTAAAAATGTGAGATGAGAGGATAGATAAAGATTGATTAACTTGATTGATTTTTACATTTTAAACTATGCATAAGCAGACCGGTGAGGTATGAAGATCTAAACAGCTACTCATACCAATCCTAAGGTTTCAAGATGTTTCTTTCTTGATTTATCAAGAGACTATGGTCGAAAGCTTTTGTAAAAAGCATGAGGTACCAGTAGAATTCAAGAACTAAATAAATGATGCTTTGAATTTAAGAAATTCTGGGAATTCAAGAAAATGTTTTGAGAAGAAAAACAGTCCTTGGGCCAACTCAAGCTCAAGCTCAACAATCAACATTATAGTTTTTTCAAATAAAACTATAATGTAGACAGAGAAAGAGGCTACGAGCCAACAAAAAGATGCCCTGACTCACAAAGTACAACAGAAAGACCTTAATCAGGTGATCAAACATCATTATCAGAGAGGAGGGTGACTCTGGAGAATATTCAGTCCATCTTTAGGATGGGAAAAAAATATTCAATTTCTTCACATCATAGTGGAATACGGAGGAGGAGGAGAGGGAGGAATAAAATCAGACAGAATGAAAAACATTGAGTTGGATGCAAACTGCAAATGGCATTCTACGGAAAGAAGAGAAGAATGAGCATTTAATTCAAAGTTACTCTGAATGGGAGTCCTGCTGACTCAAGAATGGCAGAATATGACTCAGATATGTTCCTTTTGGAAGACTGGAATTTTTGTCATGCCCTAATCAACAATCAATCTATGTTTGCCAATAAACAGCAAGAATCTTTGAAAAATTACAAATGTATCTTACTAGTTAAATCAGTGTGTAATACCGAGACAAAGATAAAAAACCTTTGACCAAAACAAAAAGAAAAAACAATATTAACATTATTTTGACTGTGCCTTGAAGATGAACCAAACACATTAAAAATGTTAAACTGTACTGTTTGGCATGCTTTGGCAAATGCCCAGTAGTCATTTTTCATATCATTAAAGGGCAAAATTATGAATGATTTCTGGTAAGGTCGTAAAATGTTTTAAACCTTTAGCAGTGCTTTTTTTTTGTACTTTCTAAAAACCAAAATAATGACTTGGCCACGATCTAATGAGCCAGACGAGTTTGTCAGGCTTCCAGGTAACATGCAGTGCAGTTTGACACTCACTAGGTGGCAGAAATGCTGCCTCTGCCATGCATCATTTCAGCTGCTGACACTCTGAGAAACATCCTCTCTCTCTCTCTCTCTCTCTCTCTCTCTCTCTCTCTCACACAAACACACACACACAAACACAGAAACACACAAAGCGCCTCATCGGTCCAGTCAAAATGGAGGTCCCATTCACCATGCTGTGGTCTCTGTGGGGAAGGAGGTGTGAAACATTACTGCTCGAGTGCTAATCGCAAACTGTAAACACCCAAAATGCTGCTCTACTCTGAAGGAATGAGTCCCCCTAAATTCCAAAAACTTTTCTCTCAGACCATCCGTTTTGTACGTTATTGGCTGGCAAATATGTTCCATAGAACAGTTTTCATATGAACATAAATTACTTTACAGTTGAATAACCTGCCTGTCTCTTTTATGAGCCTGCAGTTCACGTCACCTGCAGCCACAGTGCAAACTAATAATTAAAGCTGCAGTTGAGACATGTTAATACAGTTCAGTAAAACATACCGTGGGCTTAATGTGCATTTATAAAATACAAATTGTCTGCAGTACTGTGAGTAAACAGAAAGATTTACAGAAATACTGACAGTTATGCAATTTATGTTAATATACAAGCTCTCCTTTAGGCAACACATGACAAAACAAATTGGGTATCAATATGTTATAAATATAAATTCCTATGCCTAAACTGAGATGTGATATTCTTTATTTTAAGGTTTTAGGGGAGGTTTTAGGTGACTTTATGGTCTCTATCTGTAGACTCTTTTAAATAAAATGTAATGTAATGTGTTTAACCTTCCAATCCAATTTTTTAAATTTTAAAACAATGTATTACAGTAATACTTGGGTTTTTGTAAATACTATCATCCTCAGTCTTTACGTAAAGCTCTCATTTTGCGTGACTGTAGAAATCCAATTTTTTGTTGTTTTTTATATTGAACAGAAATGTTAAAAATACAAATTATGGAAGTGTTCTTTTGGCCACTATGATATGCCAGGCAGCACACACGTTTCTAATCATATGATCATGTGATCTAAGTGGCAAATTCGGATCTTTTGTCCAGGATATGTTCAGAGTCTAAACAGCTTAAAAAAGATGAAGAGAATAAAACTGTTAATATTACATTTTGAAAAACTCCAGACAGAGCGTACAGGTTGACTTGAACTGAACTCACTGAGAAGAGTCAGAGAAACTTCTGCAGCTCAAGTGTTTCAAGTCACAACTTACATGATATAATTTTTTTAGAGAAGCAAACCTCCAAATTAACATAAATTGTTCTCTCTTTAATGAATAATAAATATGGATTGCATAGATATACAGCCAGCAGGCAGAATGTCAACTGTTTCTTTTGTTTGTTTGTTTTTACAGTTGCCCATTTAAAATAAAAAAAATCCAGTTAAATTAATTCTCATGTTTTACTACCAATAAATTACATTCAAAACAGGATGTTAAAGGAGGTTCAGTGACTTTTAAATGTTGTTTATGATGTGGAGAAAGAGTGGAGCAAAGTCAATAAGAGAGCAGCCGAGAACAAAATGAACTCACCACACAAGATCAGAACCGAACAGATAAGAAGCAAAAAGAAAGTCGCTGTTAGGCAGGAAGAGAGTGAGGAGTGACCTCATCACTCAAGTGAAACGCTGCAGAGCACATTCAGCGGTGTCAAAGAGGATTCACTCACTCAGACATGAGTCACACGATACAAATATTTGATGGTAAAACCCTCCTTGCCTCAGGTGAACCCAGCCAATGAAAATCCTCTGCAGAGACAATGGCAGACACTTCAGGTATGTATTTGGAAAGATGAGGTCTGATCCCTCACTTAAACTCTCAGAAGGTCATTGAAATAGTTAAGCTTTTTTGGTATGACCTCAACCAAGGACCATGTCCCATATACCCAAGCTTGCAGATAGGTTTTTAATATTTAAAACATGTAAGAAGAATATGTGTGTGTTTATAATGGGAGCCAGATTGTAACTTGTATTACTTTTCCAGGCAACACATGAATTTTAAAGCAGGCTATCAACTTATACAATCCCCAAAATATATAACAATTTCAGCAGAACAGTCACTGTTTTATACATTGGCCTGCTGTAAAATGTGTACAAATAGCAGAGAAAGCACTGTGACTTTTGCCTGTCTGCAGAGACAAACACCAAGATGTCACTTAAAGACGTCCGACACTTTGAGAGACGTCAGTGCCTTAGAAAGTCACATCCTGGGTATAAGACAAGGGTGATTTGTGCTTGGCTTGAGTAAATAATCATCAGTCTTAGTGCTGGAAATGATAGGCTCAACATGAGAGGCTGTCTGACGTCCTGTGCTGCTGAGTCAAAACACACAAATCCATCCTTCACTTAAAAGAGAAGAGACAGAGCTGAGTACCTGCAGGACTCACATAGCTGTCTCACCTAGTGGGCTTTCAGATTGCTTAATTCAAGCTGTTTCTCGTGACTAAAACATTTATGGCAGGGCACTACAAATGAAGGTTGTGATTTGTTACATTTTGAGATTCAGTTGTGCATTTAACTACATATCTGAAATGCACAAAACTGTGCTGCTGTAATTACTGAAGCAGTGATGTAAGGAAAAAGGGGATTAAAGTTTTCAGGCTGCAAACAGGTTTGTAATGTATTCTGTAATGTACAGACAACAGTTTCAAACAAATCAATTGCCTAATGCCTGATTGAGTGGATTAACAAACGTTTTGGTTAATCCAAATGGACACTTTTCAATAACAGCAAAAACTAAAACTAAATTTACGCACAGTGTTTTTTCCCTTTGCTGTGGTTCTCTCATCTGCTAACCTCTACCTTGATATAGCGCTGCTGCTTTGGCTGTCTAGTTGGCTGTATTTTAGCAGCAGAGAGTGCAGAGTTTACCAATCCAGACTGCAATTACTGCTGTTTGGCTGGCGTTTTACTTCTGTTTTGTAGTTAGTTGCAAATGTTCATGGAAATGACACATTTTTGACAAAAGATGTTTCTGCATTTCAGCTTTGTAGGGCTGTGTAACAATTATGGAAGAAAAGGCAAATTTATGTTTTTGTATCTTCTGTAAGCTATTATATTTCTGAAAATGATGTGTTTTTCTTCTATCAATAAATAAAAATTAGGAAAGGAGAAATAAAAGAAAGTCCCTTTAGTGAAGAATTTAATTTAGTGTTATTTACACAAACATGTAAAATCTTTGGACATACTGTCATTTATGTTGATGTGTTATTGGGTATAGTTGTCAGAAAAAAAATAATTAAGACAAAGCACCTGCTGGTAAACATTTCTTTTCAAGGAGCTATGGTACTGAATTCTAAAATAGTATGTTGATGAATCTTCATGTTAAAGAGATTAATTTCAATGGTCACTGTCAGTTTCTCGCAGGCACTTTAAGTCTATTGTTAATAATTTCAGAACACTAGGTAGTTTTGCTGACCTGCTTATCGAATTCTCGTCCAGTTTATCTTTTGTGAAATTACAGGTAGTTTCACAGCCCCAATCTTTTCTACATGTGGGGAACAATTTTAGCTGTAAAGTATGTTGGGCTTCAGATGGACCAACGTAATATCTGCATCTACAAATGGCAACTACAATTTCCTTTGTTGAATTTATTAATGGATTGTAAACATTAAAG